ATAAAATATCAGGGCTGGGGGTGGGGACCCTATACTAAAAGATTAAAATCCTGGTTTCCTCTTAAGTACAGAGAGGATTACGAATGGTTTCCATTATGGTATAATGAAATCTCATTTTATGTCATACATTAACATTCAGTATAGTCCAATTCACTGACATTTGATGCATCTACAAATGGGTCATGCTCTGTGCTGGGCTGACAGCCAGGTGTTGGGAAGGGGAAAAAGACAGTATGTGGCTGCAGAAAGACTAAACACCGTATGACTTCAGGAAAGTCACTTAACTTCTCTGAGCCTCATTCTTCTCTTTTTTAAAACAAAGAGTTGACAGTAATTGGGAGATGCAAATGAAGGAACAGACATGGAGGTTCTGGGCATGTGGTCATCACTGGGCATCATCTTATACAATCGCTGAACAGTCCCATTTCACAGGGGAGATAACTGAGGCTCCAAGGGGTAGACTAGAAAGTCCACAGTCACACTAATAGTAGGTAATGGAATCAGGATACAAACTGTCTGATTCCTAAGTTAGAAACCCCCCAAGCCAGGTCTGTCTACCCTTGTACTGCCAGTCTCTACTGCTTTCCAGATTGGGGGGTCGTTATGAGTGAAGGCCAACTAACAAACCTAACAACAATGACTTATGTGTTTATCGTTAGTCTGACCCATGAAGACTGTATTCCCCTCAACTAGAACTACACCTGGCACATAGTGGGTATTCCATAACTATTTGTTGAACCCTTGGACTCACAGAAATAAAATATCACTTCTTCAAGGTCCAGTTGATAAGGGCAGAGGAGGACTCAGGTCCCTAACACCCATTCAGCACTACTCTGAAAGCCAACAACCTCAGTTCACAAGCTCATCTACTACCCTGCCTTTGGCCACCCAGGATCACGGGAACAAACTTGTCTAGTTCCGGGGAGGGTCAGAAGAAAAGTAAAGATGGCTCTGTTCTGTTCCTGCTTCTGCTGACTGTACCTCAGTTTCTCAGTCTGAAACACTGTACTTGTTGCTCAGCTGACACAGGATGGAGAAGGATTCAGGAAGACAATCAGACTTGGTCCTTCAAGCCTCTCTCCCACCAGTCTAGCCATCAAACCCATGCTCTGGTGGGGAGGATGTGGTGGTGGTGGTGAGAACCACAGGGTCAGAGCTGGCAAACACCTCGTTTTTCTGATGCTATCACTATAGGCTAGACAAGAACACAGAGGCCCAGGGAAGAGAAACAGTTGGCTAAGGACATGTGTGACCGTGACGGCAGGCCCAGGTTCGAGCCCCAGAGAACCTCAGACCACAAACTAAAAGAGAGTCTGGTTCTTGTCTCCCAGCTCAGGGCCCTACTATCCAGGAGTAGAGGCAGAGACAGGGAAAGAATGCTATCTGTGTCTTGGCCACAAGGCTGACTGACACAGACTGACAGGCCAAGCCATCCTGGCCCCCAACTCAGACCCTGGAGACCACAGCATGGGCTTACCAAGCATCTGCTCAGACACAGATGGCCTGGCCCAGGGTGGGAGCCCTCCGGGCCCTTACAGGCTGCCGACAACCGGCAGGCTTCTCAGGAGCCAGAAGAGGCCAACAGGAGAGGTGGAGCTAGGGACCACAGGTGTGGGAGCCTGGGCGTGGGTGCCGATGCCGCAACGCCTCTGCTGTTAGGCTCCATGGTGGTTCTCAGGCCACTGACCTTCAGGGCCTGGGCCTCCAAACATGAAAAGGTTCCTGGTATGTGTCTAATTCCCCACATACACCCTAGGTAATTACCAGCTAAACTACTCTAACTCCAAGCGTTCTACTAGTGCAATTAGTACTTCAGAATAAAGAAGGCTCTCTGACAGCTGGCCACGCCCACCCACAGCCTGGGCTTCCACTGAACAAAGATGTGTTGTTAATCCTACAGCGTTGGAGGCCTCGGATCTTAATGAGACACAGCTATAGTGTGGGAAGACCTAGGATTTGTAACCCTCGGTCCTAGATGATGGCCTGGATATACTGAGTGGCCCTAGACAGGCCATTTAACTTCCTGGGTCTCGTCTCACCTGGGGAATGGGGCTGACAAGACAGCTTCTCATGTTGTTGCACAGAATGATGAGGAACTGCAAGGTTCAAATGAAAGTTCAAATGCTATTTTTTATTCTAAAAACAGGGCTCCTTTCTAGCGAGCTTAGTGATAAAAAACACATCTCAGAAACTTCTACATGTAAATAGCTGCACAGTTTCGAGTAACATTTCTGCAGCAGGACAAGCGGAACTTGCCAAGGAGAACAAAGACAGTCCTAGCTGTGCACGGATCATTCCGCAAGGCTCTGTCCCAGGAGCTGGGGCCCAAAGTGACAAGACTCCAGTCCCTGCCCACAGGGCTAAAGCCCACTGGGTCCTCGCTGCTCTGACGGGACAGTGGCTCCAGGCTGAACTTTGTCCTCTCCAGCGCTGCCCTGATCCCAGTGACAGCATCCCAGCCTGCTTACTCATCTGTCTCCCTGGGACCAGACCTTCTTCCTGGCACAGCCCCGGGACCGCCTGGACAGGATTCACCGGAGTCTGACCCTCGCTGTGTCAGGGGCGTGCCCCCCATAAGCCCACCCACAGCTGAGGCCCTGCTCCCAGGTGCTCTCAGCTCAGCTGCCCCAGCCTGAGGGTGTGCACAGTCGTCTCCTTTCTGCAACCCCCGGGGAAGCCCACCCCGGCGCCCCTCACTCACCCATGTTGACAAAGCTCATGACCAGATCGGCTCTGCCGAGGCCCCGCTCCGGGCGCCCGTCGTCGTCGTCGTCGTCGTCGTCAGCCATGGCGTGGTAGAGGTCCAGCATGAAGAGCGGGGCAGACGCTGGCAGCCGGGCGGCGGCAGGCGGTTCGCGGGGCCGGGGACGCCCGGGCAACCCCAACACCGCCAGGATCTCGCGCTGCATGTCGCGCCGCTCGCGGGCGCCCAGGCGACGCTGCGGGCAACAAGGTGCGGGCCGCGGGCAGGGGCCGCCGGCGCTCAGGGAGCACAGCGCCAGGCCCAGCAGCCAGAGCGGGCCGGGCCACGCAGCCATGGCGCCGGGTAGGGCTCAGCGGGCGCGCATCAGCTCACGGTCGGGCCGAGTACGAGGGCGTTTCGGGCCAACTTCCTCGAGGTGTTCCACGCGGCACCTACCCCGTCTGCGAGCCGTGCGGCTGCTTTGTCTGTCCCCACTGTGTCCGCCGGGCCGGCTGCTGAGGACACCCAGTTTAGCGGGCCGGGCGGCGGGCGCAGCTCCCGCGGGGTCTCAGACGGCGGGAAGCCCGAGAGCCGCCGGCTCGGCTAAGCTACCGTCTGTGGCGTCCGCGCCTCGGTCCCGCACGTCGTCAGGTCCCGCCACCTCCCGGAGCAGGACCAATAGGGGCGAGGGGGCGAGGGGGCGGGGCGAGGCCCGCGGAACCCACGCCCCTGGGATTCTCTAGAAGTCGGGCGAGTGAATGAGGAGGGCGGGTACAGGGTTCCCAGGCTCAGGCTTCTGGCGCCATGCCGGGACCTCTGCCCGACCCAGAGTAGCTCAACCGTCGGGAGAAACCAACAGAGCGCTGGCACTCCCGCGGGACGTGGCCTTCGGCGACCTCCTTAGATCCAGGTTCCGGAGTCTCGGGAACGCCAGCAGTGTGAGCCGGCGGTCCCACCTTGTTCGCCTGCTGTGGCTTCAGGCCCTGAAATGTGGCCCCATTTGGTTCTGGAGAGACACCTCCCTACAGGCTCAGGGGCTACGCCCCTGGGGCGTCTCCCTCCGTCTCCTCCCAGTCAGCACCCCCGGCGCGCCCCGGCTCCCACAAGCTACCCCTAGACCCGACACTGTTAGTCGGCGCTGGCCCAGAGTCCGCGGGAGATGCATACCTGCTTCCCGCCTGCGGCCGGCAGAGCCCAGGATCGTGAACGTTCTGGATTCACCTTTGGGCACTTTAATTATCGTGGTTGTCAAGAGAAGGCTCCACATGGAAATCCGCGACGGATTGAGCGCCCAGAGTTCTCTTCCTTTTTTTTTTTAATGTTTTATTGTGAATTATGTGATCGTTTACATGGGAGAACATTAGTTTTACATTCATTCTATCGTATATTGTCATTGCCATGTTTACAATCCCCTCCATGCAATCCTTCTCCCCCCCACCTACCACCCCCCAGGTCTTCAGCACACAGTCGCTCTCCCTCTCCCTCTCTGGATCTAAAGTCTCCAGCTGCTCCATCGCTCCACATCATCATCTCTGGCTCCATTTCAGGCATCACTGCTTCTCTGGGTAGGGTCCTGCTCTCTGCTCTTCTCTGTTGCTGATCCTAGGGACCTCCACTCCTAGACTGAAAGTTAATCACTCCCCTCCTTGCTATAAAACGTCTACCTTTACATTTCCAACCCTCACAATCAGTCCTGATAACAATTATTCAATATTGTATCACAAGAGACCCCGCCTAGACAGATTGAATACTACTCACTGGAGATTCCACCTTCCTCCATGCCCTCTGGATCTACGTTCCCTCTTGAAAGCTTGTAAGCCAGTCGCTTCTTGCCTTTGTAGCCCCCCACCCCTCATTTTGGGAAGCCAATGTCCAAGTTGCCCATCCCTGTCTACTCTTCCACTTCCTTTTAAAATAAATGGTCAAGGCATTGCGTAAGGAGACTTGGTTACACAGTGGTTAAGCGATCAGCTGCCAACCAGAAGATGGGTAATTCAAACCCCAAAACCTTTCCCTGGCAGTCGGTTTCGTAAAGACCACCTTGCAAGACTTATGGGGCAGTTAGTTCTACTTTGTCCTATAGGGTAGCAATGAGTCAGAATTTACTCCCTGGTGATGGGCTTGGTTTTTGTCTTTTGGCGCTGCGGTGGGAGGAAGTGACAGACTGAGCTCTCAGAGCTACATGGAACTGGGGTGGGGGGCGGGGCGTGTTAAAAGGTGAGGGAATAGTAGCTTGTCAAGGCCCTTAGATTTGATAGATACGGAGTACTGTTGTTGTGTGCCATCCAATGGGTTCTGACTCATAATGACTCTGTAGAAAGTTTCCCAGAGCAGCTGGTGGGTGTGAACCGCAGACCTTGCTGATAGCAGTCCAGTGCTTGTCCTACAGCGATTATGGTGGCTCTCTCCCCACACAGCCCTATTCAAGATTCATCTGCAAAGTAAGTGTAAGAGGTCCAAAAAAATAAAAAATTACCCATAATCACCTCAATTTTCTAAAATACCAGATAGAAAAATGTTTTAATATGAGCAATCATTTGCTGGTGACTTAAGCACAGGAGGTAATTTTCATACTGCTTACAAGCCACCATAAGGAATGTTGAGCTTTGGTGGCAGAAGTGGATTACGCATTAGTTTCCTAACTGCAAAATCAGCAGTTCAAATCCACCAGCTGCTCCTCCAGAGAAAGATGAGGCTTTCTGTTCTGGTAAAGATTTACAGCCTTGGAAACCCATACTGGGTTGGAACCAACTCGATGGCACACAACCACCAACGGATAATGCTGATTAGGCACTGAAAAGGCCCAATTAAGATCAGAGTTTGGATGCAGAGGGAAACATGGATTGGAGGGTGACAGACTGGAATCAGGGCTTGGCAGTTGGATGCTGTAGCAGTAAGCACAGGAGGGGATAGGGCTAGTGGTTGTGGTAACAGGATGGAGAACAGAGGAGAAAGCTATTTAGGAGGCTGAATCCACAGAACTGAGGCAAAGAAAGAAGACAGTCAAGAGTATGTCCCCATGTCAGGCCTGGTGTCTCTGAATCTGCCCTTCATTGTCTTTCTCTGCACCCAAGAACTCCCCATCTTCTCTTTTCAGCCCGCACCATGTCATTGAGGGCCCAGAGTTCTCCCATGACTCTCAGGTTTGTTATTGTGCTATGTGGAGGTCTCAACTAGCAACCCAATGCTGGGCTGACACTTACAATTCAATTTTGCTTTTTGAGGAAATAACTGTTCTCTAAACAAGAAGTCTCACACTCCCAATAACCTAGACATTGGTTTTAGCCACTGCAAAGGGCCTGGGCATCACAATTCAGCAATCACTGTGGGTTGCTCTGTGCTGTACCCTGAAACAGAGATGAAGCAGATGAAGTCCCTCCCACCTTGAGCACCTCCCATTCTAATGGGGGTAACAGTCAGGCAGTCATTTCAAAAGGCAGAATTAAAGTTGTACTCGGACAGAAGGGCAGCAAAGTGTCTGGAACCACAGAGGGAAAAGGAACTAGGAAGTAGGGGTGGGCAGCGGAATCTTGGAATGACAAAACTGGAAGGAAAGAGGTGGAGAAGGTTTTTTGAAGAAAGTAGTCAAAATTAGGACACTACTTATTTATCTCCAACCACCAGCCCACTCTGTGATCTTGGGCATATTATTAACTTTCCTGCTGTTTCTCATCTATAAAGTAGGACTGAGATGGGTATTAAATGCATGAAGACTTACAATGCCTGGCACATAGTTAGTTGTTAAGTGCCTTCAAGTGGGTTCCGACTCATAGGTTTCCAAGGAGCGGCTGGTGAATTAGAACCACCAACATTCTGATTAAAACTGACATTGCAATTAAAAAGAAGAAGGGGGAAAAAAAAGTATTCTCATACAATTTGATGAACTTGACCTACACCTATGGAAGCAGTAGCTCAAAAGAGGGAACAAGTCCTAACAGCAAGAATCATTCCCACACCCTCCACACACAGAGTAGACAGGGATGGGCAACTTGGACATTGGCTACCCAAAATGGGGGTGGGGGGCTACAAAGGCAAGAAGTGACTGGCTTACAAGCTTTCAAGAAGGAACCTAGATCCAGAGGGCCTGGAGGAAGGTAGAATCGCCAGTGAGTAGTATTCAATCTGACTAGGCGGGGCTGATGCGATGAAATGCGGACAGGTCTCTTGTGATACAACAGTGAATAATTGTTATCAGGACTGATTGTGAGGGTCGGAAATGTAAAGGTAGACGTTTTATAGCAAGAAGGGGAGTGATTAACTTTTCAGTCTAGGAGCGGAGGTCCCTAGGACCATCAAAGGAGAAGAGCAGAGAACAGGACCCTACCCAGAGAAGCAGTGATGCCTGAAATGGAGGCAGAGATGATGTCGTGGAGAGATGGAGCAGCTGGAGACTTTAGATCCAGAGAGGGAGAGCGACTGTGTGCTGAAGACCTGGGGGTTACGGGGGGGCAGAATTGCAGGGTATACCCTTTGGTTGGTTGATAATGCATGGAGGGGATTGTAACCATGGCAATGAGATGATATACGATAGAATGAATGTAAAATTAATGTTCTCCCATGTAAACTATCACATAATTCACAATAAAACATTTAAGAAAAAAACAAAACAAAACAAACTGACATTGCAGTTGAGTGTTTAATCTACAGTCCCACACCAGAATTTCAGGCTATAAATCTTTGTGGGAGCAGAAAGCCCCATCTTTCTTTCTCCCAAGGAATGGTTGAACCACCAATCTTTTGGTTAACAGGCTTATCCTACAGAACCACAGCACTTCTGACACACAGTTGTTGTGTTGTTATTAAATGCTGTTAAGTTGGTTCCAACTCATAGCGACCCTGTTTAGAGTGTCCAAGGAGTGGCTGATGGGTTTGGACTGCCCACCTGTTGTTTAGCAGCCCAGCACTTATCCTACAGTGAGTGCCAAACTAGGACTCCAGTATATAGTTGTTGGTAGGTACCATTGAGTCAGTACCAACTCATAGTGACCCTCTGCACAACAAAACCTAACACTGCCCAGTCCTGTGCTAACCTCTTGCACAACAAAACCTAACACTGCCCAGTCCTGTGCTAACCTCTTGAGCCCACTGCTGTTGCCACTGTGCTAATCCATCTCATTGGGGGTGGGGGGGGCGGTGTTTCCTCTTTTTCTCCAACCCTCCACTATACCAAGCATGATGTCCTTTTCCAGGGACTGGTAATATGTCTGAAGTATGAGAGACGAAGTCTGGCCATCCTGGCTTCCAAGGAGCATTCTGGCTGTACTTCTTCCAACATAGATTCGTTTGTTCTTTTTGGTGGTCCTCCTCCAACACCATAACTCAAATGCATCAATTCTTCTATGGTCTTCCTTATTC